TATTGGATTTCCGACTCCACTAATCAATTCTTAATTTCAATTCTCAACCAGTGATAATTAATTCGATTCATGCAATTGCGACAATCGATAATTCCACTTTCATTTACTATTCTTTCCCAAGATATAATAAATCTATGATTGCTACGAGACGATCTTATTCCTAGTCCAAATTCATATGACAAGCAAGCATTGACGTTTAGGATTATCACACATGACCGCACACGCCATAAATATTATTCCTAATATTTATTGTCCGTGTGTTCCATAAACAGTGTTCTACCTACCGTGATTTTTCCAACACTACGAATAAGCAACTAATTGTCATAATGGTGCGCAAACATTAAAAACAATAAATTCATATATGTTTATGAAATCACAATGCAAGAATTAAATTAAAAACACATGATATCGAATTAAAAACTAAAAATTAATTAGCTTCATCATCCATCCAATACAAGGGAATTTAGCCTAGCATATTGTAGAAATTAAATTATACAAGAATAATTGGAAAAATATCACCCGAAAATAAGAAAGATGGAAGAAGTTGGAAAAATCCACGTTCTTGATGTGAAACTTGAATCCGGATGAAGAATTTTCAATATCCTATGCAATTCACCTTGATTCCACGTTGTTAGCCACGTTCTTCGCCTCCAAAATATGTATAATATAGAGATTTTTAGGTCTAGAGAGGTCATCTATATGTATTCTGATGTTCTCTCTTTGTAGGAGCAAAAAATTGGTTGAAAATCACGTCCAAATTGGTTTCCAAAAGAGTTTTAATCGAATAAGGAAAGTTGCCTTCGCGCGCGTATTTTTTGTCTCTGCACAGCAGTCCGTATTTTAGTCATAACTTTCTCTTCTGATATTCGATTGACGTGATTCAAAATGTATTGGAAATATAACTTAAAGGGCTACAACTTTAATTGAAATAGAGTTTTTCCAATTCGAACGTTTATTATGCCAAAAATGGGTCTCAATGTTAGGATAAAAATCTGGAATATATCTTGAGCGATTGAAAATTGATTTTGATAATAATTTGATCATGTTCCATTCCTTTTTGAATTCTAATTTAATTCAATTGTCTACTAGCAATATTCAAAGTATCTTCTTGAGTATTTGCAATTTGATCCTCAAACTTTCGATTTTACCATTTTTCACCATATTTTGCTTCTTTTCTCCAATCCTTCATCAAACATAAAGTTTTACCTACACAATGCAATATAACATAAATTATGTAAAATTTTGTCAAAAAATCAATAAAAGTCTATAGTTTTAAGCCCCGAATAAGTGNAAAATTCTATATTTTTAAATCCCGAATAAGTGTAGAAAATACACTTATCATACCACACCAAAGATCTTTCGTTTCTTGTTGAAACCTTTTAAACCAATTTCAACAAAATTTGCTCCAATTTGAACAATAGATTTCCTTTCGGTATTTTTATTGTCTTCCTCTATCCTCAATCAAACTATCAGTTCTTACAAATTCATCTCTTTGTATTTGTGTTTGAGATAGTTCTTGAAATCTCTTTACAGAGGAGGGAGTTTCTCAATTATGGTAGCAACTTAGAAGGACTCTCTCAATTCCATCTTTTCAGCATGTATGTCATGTAATAGAACTTGGAGTTCTTGTAATTGACTTATCACGATTTTGGAGTCTACCATTTTGTAGTCCAAAAACGTACCAACAATGAACTTCTTTGTTTCGACGTCCTCGATCTTGGATTTCTTTTCCAATGAATCTCATAGATCATTGGCCGAGTCCATTGAACTATACAGTCCATAAAGTGTATTGTCCAATCCATTTAGAATGTAATTTTCCAAAGAAAATCTGATTGCTTCTATGCATCTAATGCAATAGTCGATTCACGATTTTTTTCTCCTTCTTGTACAACGGGAGCCCTTTCTTTTAAAAACTTTTCCAAATTCAAAATAGTAAGATAGAACATCTTCTGTTGCCATCTTTTACAATTCACACCTCCAAACTTTTTTGATTTTTCTCCATGTGGGATGTGAGAGCTAGATATAGGTATGGCCAAAGGCGGAACCACATGGTTCGTACCATTTGTTGTTTAACTTGAAGTAGTCTCACATGATTTATTTCTATTATAAACAAAAGTTCAACATATAGAAATAGAGAAAGAAAGGAATAGCACACAAATGCTTATTCCAAAGATGAAGAAATGATAAAACAACCAAAAAACTAATATTGTCTTAAGATTGTTGGTGGATGTGCGGTAGAATATGTAAATGGTTGTTTAAGACAATGAATTATACTAGTTTAATTCGCAGGAGCGTAATTAAACTACAAAGAAAGAAAAAAAAAGAAGAAAAAAAAAAGGAAAACAAAATCCAAGGCAAGTGAAAATATTTTCTCTTTAAGACGATATTGACCCGCAATGCTGCTAATGAACTGCGACACTTATCTCCCAAGATACAACGGATACAACTTGTGGTAGAAACACTTCAAACCACAAGCAACAATGAACTTAGAACGAATTTTTCTCTCTACATGAAAAAAGGGTTTTAGAATGACTTTTGGATAGTATTTTACAAGAGTTTTTGGTATTGTGCTCAATACAAATGATATTGAATGCATAATGGACGTCCAAATGGCCCTTTATATAAAAGAGGAAAGGTTGTGAGTGAAATATCGCACCCTAAATTCAGTAACCTTTGCCAAATGTCGTAACATTTACTGTCGCTAGTCTGTTACTGGCCTTTCGCTCGAACAATAGTGATACCTTTTCATCATAATTTCTCTCGCTAGATTGTCGCGAGTGACAATCCCATCGCTCGAGCGATAGAGAAAGTCATTTTCCAGTCCATGTATCCTCTTTTCTATCCAATTTTGGACCGTAATTTCTTATTCATCCCTAATTGGTTTTGAGATTCCAAATATACACGACGATCTACTTAACGAGTAGAATAAGTTAGTATATTTATATTCATAATTTGACTATCGGATCAAATTCGAATATTTAGTCAAAATTGACACAAAAGTCACTTTCACATATTTAATTTCATTTCCTAAACCAAATTCTAACACACAAGATTGCTAACATTCTACAAACTTTGGACCACCTGGAGAGAATCATATGTGACGAGTAAATTGTGGAGGGACATCTGATATGCTAGAAGTAGACCTTCATGCAGTGCTACGAGTTCCGTCACCTCTATTAAGAAGGTCCCCACAATCCGCTTAGCCCATGCATCCATGACACTACCCCCACACCAATCCATCATTCATCTTGTCGGATGGTTGCATCGTTATTTAAGTGGTATAAGGCGACTAACAAACAGATTACGACCGCGAGAACAAATATTTTGAAGTTATTGAGAGATTTCAGAATATTGAGACTTGAGAATTGAGAGTGATGAAATTTCAAGTGGTATGAAAATTCGAAACTAAACAAACTATTTTATATGGGAAAATTGAGAAAATTTAGAGTAGAAAAAAGGAAAAGTAGAAAAAAACAGCCGTTGTGGCTGCTTGAGTGATTTGATGGCAGCACCACGCTAAGACATGCCTTGGCTCACGAGGCAAGCCTATGAGCCCTCCTTACGAGCTAGCCGAGTGAAAACCTAGGCTCGGCTAGTTTCATGATTCACTTTTGGAGTGAGTTGGCGAGCGGCTCACACCCATTAACATCCCTAGTGAACTACATTATCCAACACACAAGCCCAATTCTCGTGTCTGGAATGTGGGCCATTGGTGCACAACCTGGAATTTTTAATCAGCCCATTGGACGTTGTGGATGGGTTTGGTTGTGCTGGCCCAAAATCAATATTTAATTGAATTTGTATTAATGCACTATTCATCTAAAATTTATTAAATTAGTTGTACCATAGTTGATGAGAGAAACATGCTGAGATTGGAATTTGTATTCACGTGTTAACTTTCCTTGATAATACTTCTTTCCTGGTGTGTAGACTAAAATAATCCTACTATTTAAGCACTCTTCCGAGAACCATAAGTTCTAAATTATTTTAAAACTGGAACTTACTTGAACAAGAGCTCACGTGTTATATTTCACGATGCAATACACCTTATTCCTCTATAGCCCAAAAAACCGACTTTTTTTGATGAAAAATCGTGTTTTGTGTACAATTTGAAGAGTGAATTTGATATGGTTCTTCTCAAAGAGATGTTGATAGGTACCTTTGATATGAATTTTTATTTGCATCGTGCTTAATTTCGTTAACGTAAAAGTGTTACGAATATTTTTATTTTTTTTCAAAATAAAAACCTCTAATTCTCTACAAGCTGAAGAACCTTTTGTGTGATTTAAACCAGTTTAGTTTTATAAAATCACGACCTTGTCAAACTTTAATTGATATTCCAGTTTCATTTCTTTTTTCTTTTTTTCCATAAAAAATAAGAAAAACAATTATTGAAGAGACATTGAACCTCGACATATATATATTTCAAAAGTTTCTCTTTGGATGAGGGCAAGATAGTTTCAATACTAAGAAAGGTTTCTTGTAAATAAATACACATGCAAGAATACAATACATTTCCAGTTGAGAAACCCATAAAGATGCAAAGAGTTTTGCCACATCCCATACACTCCCACATCCTAGGTTCTCGTATATAGGCAAGTGACATGTAACACAAATAAATCGTGTGTATTTTGTATCTCTAGCAAAATATGGTTGACCTAAAACTCAAATCACTGTTGTTCAAAGTATACACTAAAGTGAACTCGTTATTCCTCAAAATCACGATGTTTTCACCTATGCAAAGAACACAACAAAGCTCCACAAACATTAAGGGAGTGACTGCAGACGAATATATGAGCTATCATAGAAAAGTTCATGAACTAACGATTTAATGAATAAAATTGAATTGGAAAAAAAGAATTGACAAAGCAGGAAATGGACAACGTGGCTTGCATTTGATGAGTAAATTGCCTCATTCACACAGTCAAGTTAAATGGTCAGTCACCTTTCCGTTCTCCAACTAAGAATTAGCATGGCTCTACCTTAATTTCATCATTCTGCTATTCCCCGAGTTTGCAGCTCTGTATATATGGATGGTCAAACTTTATATACTTGGTCCAATATGGCCTGTACTTCATCATTGCCAACTCTAGCCACGGTTTCATGTTCCCATTATAATGTACAACAGCTGCATTGTCAATTTCGGACCGATCAACACTTGGATTGTAACCCAAACCGAGCACATGCCATGACTTTTCAAGTGGATGTGTAAGCCCATAGAAAGTCATCAACCCTGGTGGCAGTGTCCCAAGCTTCCATAGAACCCTGTCTTCATTCTAGTACAAACAACAGAAAAGACAGACGAAAACAAAGGAACTCAGAAAGGACCAAGACAACAGAAAGTTGGCATCACAAGAGTCAAAATATGAACAAAGTCAAAATAATAATAGCATTGATATTCTAAAAACAAGCCACTTGTTAGTAACCTTGTGTAATGATGCGTAACATTGACATGCGTGACATTGACATCTAAAGCAAACTGGTCAACATCTCCCACCCAGAAGTTGAAGATGTTATTAAGCCTATGTTTGGCCTCCATTTTTCTAGAACTCATTTTTTCAAAACTCATTTTCAACCACTTTCTCCCATAAAATAATTTTACACGTAAACCCAAAATTTTCCTTATTTTTTGACCACACATTGTCCAAAAATCATTATTCCAAAATACATTATCCCCAAAAATGGGGGTCAAATAGGGGGTAATTCTCATAATAGGTTTATGCATCAAATGATATAAATACAAAAGCAAAATTTGCAAGAAAGCTTACCATATTCTGCCATTTGTGGTATATTCCAGTTATATCTTTCTTTTTCCACTCCTTGAGATCAAATATGTTCATTCCATAAGCCCACCCACAAGCATTTGGATCAAAGTTTTTAGCAATGTGAGGATTAGAAAAGTTTAGGTATTTGTCGAAACGATGAAAGCTCTCTCCACAGGTTTCAACTGCTCCATTAACTTTTCCATTGAGATCCACTTTCCACAATCCAGTCAAGTCTTTCTGAACAACGATATCATCATCAAGAAAAAGGATTTTATCCAACTTGGGATAAACTTGTGGGAGGTAAAACCTGAGGTGGTTGAGCATTGAAAGATACTTTGGGTTCCTGTACTTCAGGTTAGAAGAACCAGCAGAAAGCGTGGTGGGATGAGCTGCCTTGAAATAGTACTCCTTCATAGCAGCTGACTCCAACTGACGTAAAACAGGACAGTAAGATGAGTTAAGCCACTTAAATTCATCAACATTTTCAACATGGATGGTTGCTTTTCCAGGTGGGTTCAACAGAAACCACATATTCATTGCTCCAAAATTCAGCTTATCAGTAACAAGATGAAAAACATGTTTCCCGGGTTCCTGCAATTCAAAAAAGTATTATATTCAGTTATCTAAGTTATTTCAACGATAAGTACATGAATCGGTGCTTCCATAGAAAGAAATTGAGTTTAATCTGTCTGACCATATTAACATTGAAAGAGCTATTCCAACCATGCATTAATACAACAATACACTAGCCCCACATTCCCATTAAAATTAGAGTCCTTGTTTGTCATCCTTCAAAATTTTAAATTGTTTGTTAGAGTACTATTCTCCACCACACATTCACATAATAAAATATTCTACACACAAACCAACAAAGTTTCCTTACTTTTTAACTACACATTCTCCATCAATCTACTATTCCATAATACATTACAAGAAATTAATGGCTTTCAAACAGGGCCAGAGTCAGGTACATGATATCACTGTTTCAACCCTAACAAGCACATCAGGTTTAAGTTTGGGATACTTCTATATCTTCTAACCCGTTTTATTGGGATTGCAAGAAATTTACCTTCAATCAGGGACATCATCTTGTCAACTTATACTCACATATCTTATCTATTACGTGTATCTTCTGACAATTTGACTTCTACCAATCCAAAACCTATATGAGCCTACATTGATGGGAAATTTTCCACCGCTACTACTAAATGCCACACTTTTAACTTCATCATAAATATCCTTATTGTGTCACATCTAGTAGAAATTCATTTTAATACCCACCAGATGACTCCTGTTGGCACCAATGCATAAACCTATTTTTCAAATCAATTACTATACCCAAATACCTCTTTTCTACATGCCTTACCGTGAATCTCCTTAGTACATAAATGTTACCATAGCAAGTCTCCCTAGTAAAAACGAAACTGGTTCTTGGGTATCTTTTTATTACAGATTAAAGATCAAACATCATTGCCCATAATTTCATAGTATATTCAAGAGCTTAATACCTGTATAATTTGAACAATCTTGAATATCTCATTGATCTGACAGATAGATACTTTGACAGTCTTTCTCTATTCATTTGGCATCTTTACTCTTTAAGAACTAATAGAATTATCTGCCAACAATAAAATAGTCAGCTCAACTAGACACTTCCATATTTCAATAGGAATTCCATGTGGATCAATTGTTTCTCTAATCTTCATCCTCTTCATAACCTCCCTCCTTTCCAAGGCTTCAAGTCTTCTAGAATAGTCAACACTGCTATCTATAGTGGAGTAAAACAACTTCGCAATATCCCTGCGATTAAATAATTTGTCAAAGTAATTCCTGTCTTCCTATAATATAATAATTTTAAACACAAACTCTTGCTTTTCATCTTTAATACAATGAGCTTAGTTCAGTTTTCTAATTGCATTCTCCCATTGTTGAAATATCTCGTATATACCTTGTTTTCCAGATCTTGGTGCCAGATAACTATATAATTTTCCACATGCTTCAACGTGACTCCTTAATTACCCTTTTTGCTTCCCATTTAGCTTATACTTTCAAAATCCTCCCCATTTATAGATTTTGGTAATTTCTATAGCGTTCTTTTTAACTCAACTGTCATATGAAGCTTCTTGTCCATCACCATGATCCTTTATTTGGTCAGTAACCTTAGACTATCTTATTATCTGCTTTTCTTGGTTCCAGATAGTGCTACTTACCTCATTCCATTCCATGTCATGTTACTATATTCATCTACATCCCATTTTACTTCCTTCAAAACTCTATCCTTGAATTTCATTAATATTTCACCCTACACGTTCCTCCATTTTGTAGTGCAGACTCGAACCTCTTATCACTTCTTTTCTATTTCTAATCTCACCAAGACTTACCTTAATTACCTTACAATCACTGCACATAGACCTATCCAGTATCCACCTTCCTAGAGAGGATGAAATACATTTGACAAAATTCTTGCGTACTTCGAAAAAAACCTTGGCAAGTCTCTTTTTGAAGCACATATTTGCCAACACTGTATCATTAGCTAACCCAAATTCCAAAATGGTATTACTTCATATATTTTGATCCCCAAAGCCGAAGTTTCTGTGTACTCCGTATCCTAAGACAGCTTTTCAGGCATGACTATTCAAGTCTTGCCAACAACGATCTTCTCTTGTATGCGAATTGCGTGTAAATCAATACATTCACGTCTTCCAAAAACATTGTGATGTAGGATGCAATAAGAGAATCTCCATCACATTGTTTTTTGCTTAGTTCCAAAATTCTTCCACCTTAATTAGACTGTGAAAACATATCACAAGCTTCACTTCACTTATCATGACCCATAAAAAACAAACATTCGCGATATTTTCAAGCCTCCAGAAAAATGGATCTATAACAGGTGATAAAACAAGGCAGATAAAATATTTGCTAGAAAATGTCACTGTTACTATTTCAATTAAGAGCATGATATAATATATACACACACATTTCTCAGATATCAAAGATAGCTTGAATTCCTGACCTTAGCATTCATGATGGTTGAGTTGACAACAACTGAAGCTGCAAGAACATTGTCAGAGAAGAGGGCATAATGGTAGAGATTTGGATTTTCCAGATTCTCACTTCGAGGGAACTTCCTTTTTTCTGGTGGAAGAAGGTAGTAGTCTATTGTTAAGCGCAAGGATAAACAGTGAAGTCCATTTGGAATTGTCTTTGCAGCTAGCTGGCTGAGGAACGTGCTCTGCTTTTTCAGACTCCGCACTTGCTCATCTGCCAATTGTAGCATGGCTCTTAACTTCCCAGTGACTAGCTTGCAGTCGTACAATTGCTCTCTAGCTTTTGACAGGATTTGTCCCATAGCTTTAATTTTCTCAGGTGCACTGTCATGCATTTGCATATACATGTGTGAAATAATCAACTAATAAAACAAGTTGGAATTAGGTGATTAGAGCATCTCCAAGAGGCTATTTAAACATAAAATGCTCTATATTTTAAAGAGTCAACTCTTAAAATTATGTTCCAAGAGACTCTTTAAATTGGTATTTTATAATAGAGAGTGAATTTGACTCTTCAAATTGGAGAGGCATTTAGAGTATTTCAATTTTCAATGGACTGAAAATTATATAATAGTTTGGAGGAAACTAGTGAAAATAAAATATAGGGAAAAATAATAAATATTTTTTTTGGGAGTCATAAATTAAGCGTTAAAAGATATAGAGCCTATTGGAGTACTTAAATTTTTTTACTTTCCAAATTTATAGATGCTCTCTAAATTGCAAAATATGTTCTTTAAAAATGGAGTTTTTTGGAGATGCTCTTGCACACATAAAATCACCATTATCCAATACCTCGTATGTAAATCAGAATCTGCAGTTGCCTCGCCTAAAGCACGCTGACTTTCTTTGATCTGGTTCTGCAGCTCATTGGCCAAGTCAGTCTTGTGTTTAATCCTAGAAAGGCTTATATACACCCTTGCCATTATCATTTGATCTCGCATCAAGCGAACAGTTGAATCAGGATTTTCATTCTCATTTTCTTTTCTCCATATACTGTACTTACCCAGGACTGCAGAGTCAACTGACTTAGAACGCTCAATGGATGCATTTTCAAGCTTCACAGTTACTTCATCATCTAGCTTTACCAAGTCAGCAGCACGTATTTCACGTCTGTTTTCTCTCAAGCGCTGCAGTGTAGTTAAATAGATTAAAATGAAGCTCAAAAGGTCCAGGAAATGAATCAAAACATGACAATTTGTAAACAGAAAATGCAAGTTAAGAATGTTGCTTTAATTTCTCTGTGGCTAAAAAAGCAGGAGCCATATCCTCATCAAGAAAATGTTCAATCACGCAGGGGTAAATTTTCATTGACAGCATTAAATAAACTTAAATTCAATCAGCATGCTCACCCTTCTGGCCAGTGAGGAAGGCGTCTCAGAAAAACTAGAATGATCCCCTGCACAGGGAAATATGAATGGTCAATAAAATCATCTATTTAACTGAAAACTTACAAATCGACACAGTTTTTACAAAAATGGTTACTATCTAAAATATCTTCCTGCTTGCCTTTAGAGGTTTCTTGTTTGTCATTTGCAGCTTCTTCAGTTGACTTAAAATAAAAATAAAAAATAAAAATCAGAATCTTCCTAGAAGAAAAAAGAATGCATAAGCATGAAGTAAGCCACATTCTGATAGTCATCTCGACCTTAGCTGAAACCACGTTAGTATCAGCAACAGTTTGTGGGCCAACAAGTTTCCATGACGCGGACAAATTATTCTTTCTGAAAGACTCAAGACTCAGAGGCCCTAAATCATCCATGTTTGCCTTAATGACATCCATTACCTACAAGATTCTCAAAAGCTAAGTGCATGTAAAATTTTTTAACATTACGAATGTGTCATCCAGTAGAAAAACTTGCCTCTTTTGAGAATAAAGATTTGACGTGTTGCAAGGCCAGCCTCTCCCTCCAATTTAGGTCCTGTATTTACAATGACGTTAGAAAGACATCCAAAAATACAGTTCATGTGCAAGTTTACATGCCAAAGAAGGATACCTGTTTATTGAAACTTGTTACAGAATCGTTTATATCTGCAAAAGAAATACGTATTATCATACAGCAAAGTGAAGAGGTAAAATTGGGCAGTTTCTATCCAATTCATTGACAATTCAAGACCTTGACCATTGAAATACAAATCTACACCTTTCCAAGATAAATAAACAAGGAAACACAGAGTTTGGGGAAGGTATCTCTTTGTGTGTGTTGTGGGGTGGGGTGGGGGGTAGATGAGGTAAGGCAGCAGGGGAGGGGGAAGGGTCCTGCTCCCCTTAACAGAAAATCCAGCCCCTCTTGCCTCACCAGAAATCCAACCACCCAGCCCATCCTCAAACCTCCTAGCCTTGCAAACCTCTCTGCACATGTCCCTCCAACCAATCAGCCAACATTTTTTATACTCACATAAGACATCCCACTTTTGTCTATTCCAACCCCACTATCCATCTTCAGGTCTGCCACACTAATCCTATCATTCCCTCGTCCATACCTTACCACCAACTACCTCTTCTCCTCAGTCTCAAAACCATTCCTCAATAGTTTAATCTCACAAATAAAAGAAAAAAAATGAAAGCTAATTAACAAACTATATTGGAATATCACCCAGAAATCTAAATAAGGTTCCTTTCATTTCAATTTGCCTAGAAAAATCATTGAAAAATGCTAAGCTTGTGGACCTATATATCTCTACTGTGGCTTGCAGTCAACAGTTTTATCATCTAGACCTCCAAAACCCTCCCACATTTTCAACATGTCCAAACAGATGACTCATCAGTGACCAATATTGGCAATCACTGCCCTTGCAGCAAAACCTTAAACCTTAGTCTCTCTTCAATCCAAAATTCAGTTCATTAACCAATAGCAATAATAAAATGAATGATTTACAATTAACATTTTTTGGTGATATAGTTTTTTCATAATTTCGTATTTGAAAACCCCATTGTCCACATTTCATCTCCAAAAGGAATACCAGTAATATGTTTTGTTCCACGGCCTGCATTTCAAGATGTCTTCACAACTTTGTTTTTGCAAAGAATTTCAGGCAACAATTAAGAAATCCATACTGATAGGGAACCACCCACTAGACCTGTTAGCTACTTTTGACAGTTTGAAATTCAATTTATTATCACATAAATGCAGCGTATAGTTCTGTACGTTAACAAACATTTTGCAGAACGGAACTCCCCTAGTTCTTATAACTCAAATTTCTAATTATAGCTAAGTAAAATCAGCCATCTCTGAGGTAGCAAGAAAATCAACAGTAACAAGCCCATTACCATTCAATAGTCAATACTCATGCAAAAATACCTCAGTTTTCATCACTCAAATTTCTTATTATAGCTAAGAAAAATCAGCCGACTCTGAACTAGCAAGAAAACCAACAGCAACAAGCCCAATACCTTCAATAGTCAATACTTGTGCAAATTTCTTATTATAGCTAAGCAAAATCAGTCAACTCTGAACTAGCAAGAAAGCCAACAGTAACTAGACCATTACTATTCAATAGTCAATACTTGTGCAAAAATACCTCAGTTTTCATCAGCCAAAATTCTAATTATAGTTAAGCAAAATCAGCCAACTCTACACTAGCAAGAAAACCAACAGTAACAAGCCCATTACCGTTCAATAGTCAATACTCAGGCAAAAATACCTCAACCAAACGCCCAGTTTGTATTAGGATTTCTTTTTGTGGCGTAATTAGAGACACTGATTGTCAATTTTAAAACTTCAAGGAAATTCCTGTTTGGCACTGTGAAGTTTAATATCTACAAAGTTACTATCTAGAGAGTCCATATGAAATGTAAGATTAAAATTAATATTTGAGTTTGAAAATGAACTTTTTCACAAAAAATTTGAAACCCAGAGAAAGGCTATATAAGATTTTCATAGATTTGTCATAGATAATTAACAATATTTTTAAACAAATTAATCCAAAATAATTTCAAACAGTTCAAATCCAACAGTACCTAAAAATCTAAAGGTCCAGGGAAAACACCCTTACCCAATCTCATCAGTTAACATACTTTTATCAATTACTTAACTCGTGATTGATATTTCATTTTTGCCTACCTCACTCTCAAAATCCCTCATTATTCAATTTCAATACTCAAATTTACCATAACATTGACGATTAACCACCATACGACTTTGGATGCATCCATTAACATTGAACTGGTCCTTGACTTTAAAAGGAGCACATTAATCACTAACATTTTCGTCATAATCGATTATATTCAAATACTATTTCCATCTTAACTTGGATTATATTCAAAAGTTTAATGTGATACATACTTTTATGAACAACCCATTACATTTAATAAAGAATTAGACATATTACCGACTCATCATGCTACAAAGAAAAGTCGAAATTGTTAATAATAATTTTTTTCCGCCCACTTATAGTGGCCTCTGAAAGTGATTCCATTGCTTCTTCCTTGAGCCATTTTCATCCAATCATTTTCTTGTTTTGATTACTTAATTGGGAACTTCTTAGAAGAAATATTATACCTTATCTTATTTGTCGTGACCTCTCACTTTCACCATTATTTTTCTAGCAAACTATCATATATTTTCTTTTTCTTTTTCTTTTTTCAAGACACTGAAATAGCAATTTAGTTCACTGCACGAATTACGAATTTGACTAGAAGTTGTGTACAAGTTTTTTAAAGTCAAGGACCAGTCAAAATATAAGATACAAATTTTACATACATTATATTAGTGTGCACATAATTGTTCAATTTCTATACTGAGATCTGCCATAACATTGAACCACCAAATGATTTCGGGTGCATCTTTTAATCGCAAGAATATATATACATACACTAGCATTAGATTTGTAAGCATGTAATTGTTCGTGAACTAACCACTGGAAGCAGATGAAGAGAGGCCGCGGCCGAAGACGAAAGACGAGAACACAAGGAACGCCAAGAAGATGAGGACAGCGATGGGGAAGCAAGATCCATTGGTTCTATTCCTGAGGACGCCGACACCGGCTTCTCCCCTCCTAATCGCCATTTCCAAGTGTATGCCTTCAAGATTTACCATATAACACATTCAGATAAAAATTAAAATCAAGAAATCAAAAATATCAAAACTAGTACATTGTATCGAAACAAGTATATGAAAGAGTAAATTCAGAAAACGATGAAAATGGGATTACGGAGAGTATTCGAGAGGTTTATAGGATCAAGAGTCAGGCTTATTTAGGTTCCCAATTGAGCATTACATTCGTATATCAACGTGAATTTTGTGTGTGTGTGAGAGAGAGAGAGAGAGAGAGAGAGAGTTGAGTTTCGGGTAATATAGGAACAATTACGCGGCTTGGAGGGCTTTGCTACGAGTACGTTCAGGGTGTACATAAGGTGTCGATATCTCCTTATTGGATGGAGTATCAGTGGGGTCGGCACTTCATCCAATAGGGGGTGTCGGGTGTGCATTAACTTATGTACACCCCATGTATAACAAGAATAATCCCTCCTTGAATACTAGTCACATATGGCTGGGCCCAAACGCAAATAATGATTAAAATATTTTTAATAATTTTTTCTAATATATTCTCTTACTTTAGGGTAATGATGAATGTACACTCCTTGATGTATTCTCTTATTTTAGGGTAATGATGAATGTACACTCCTTGATATACATTCATTTTAACACTCCCCTAACATAGGGAGTGGGCCCTCGTGGGACCCGCAATCGTGGGCCACACCCCATGTAAGGGGAGTGTCAAACTTGATGTACACTAGCATTGTTCAGCTTGATCGTTCTGAGTTGAACCTTTGCTTCATTATATAGGCTTCAAAATAGAAGTTGCCGCATTTTGTCTTGTCAAGCTATAGGCCTTGAATTGTATGCCACCACCTTACTTGAACAAATTTCATTGGTTGAGAAGTGGCGGCGGATTTCAGATTTTAAGTGAGCATGAGCGACCGTAGACGACTGCAATAATAACCAATGCCATGACCTGAAATTACTTATATCATTGTTTGAATTGTAAGCGTGTCTGTACATTATCTACCAGTCTAATAATATTTATCGAGTAACAATTTGAAGTTTGAAAAATAAGTCCAATTATTTACTTTCTTGGTTCGATTTGCTAATAATTTCAATTTAACAGGAAAAATGACTATTTTAAAAAGATTGAATTTCAGTTAAAAAGTTTTAAAAACAATGGGGGAATATATCTATCATTTGATAAAAGAACATTTGACATTTGTTATAGTAAATGTCAATATCCACCAAATGCCTAGTGGCCGAGTGTTTTCATAATTCCAATAAAGATCACAGGTTCGAATCTTCCAATTGAACTGAATTTTATAATACATATATGCTCCATAATGGTGAGAAATACTAACCTAAAATAATTGCGAAAAAAATTGATATAGTTGAGAGTCAAACCCAAACTCCTATTTACTTATATGGGTACTCAAACTAATTGTACCACATAAGCTTTTATGAAGGAAATCACACACACACACACACACACACACATATTCAAACAATAAATACATTGGCCCAAAAAAATTGAATATCAGCGAATCCAGCGCGGGCGATCTCTAGAGCTCGCTGGGTGTTGAATTCGTCGTTGTTGAGAAGTTCAATCAAGTTAGTCCATCATAATGCATAGGTCGTAGCATATAGTATAGGTCATCATCGCTTGCCACCTAGGGAATCAATACTTTCTTCTCATTGGTGAGCATGGCAGTGCTGATGTTAAATATGACATCTTCCTATCTTTGATTGGTTGCCATAGAAGACGTCAACATCATTAAGGAACATTCCTTTAGTTAACTCATGATACGATGGCTCCTGGCCATTTTAACAAGTTGGTACGGTCCAATCCGAACTCATAATCAAAGTATTTATGATAATTAAACGAGTATTGCTATTCATTCTCACTGAGGTTGAACCACAATCTACATGGTTGCACAATTAACATCCTACGTGGCAAAATGTTAAATTTTATTTTTAAACCAAAAATGTAATTCACGTGTTTTCCTAAAAAAATCCAAATCATTTTTTTAATACCATTAAAGAATGAATCTACATAATGCATCTCAGTTTCTCTTTCTCACCTTCTCCACCACCGTACTCTGACGACGACAAAAGTTATTAAAGAGGCGGCTTGAATTTCATGTGGCACCACCGACGACATCACCATGTTCTCCACCGTCGCACTCAGTTTGATATGGATGATGTCCTCATCGATGATAAATCTACTGGTATGCACTCTTAGAAGCCTTTAAATTGCAACGCACTCAGTTTGATATGGATGATGTCCTCATCGATGATAAATCCACAAGTATGCACTCTTAGAAGCCTTTAAATTGCACTATTGTAAACAATTTACATAATTGTCACTTTTAAAAGTACTTATGTCGTGCTAATTAGATAATTTTTACTCCCACTGCAATGTGGTCTACAACCTATTCTGAATTTTCAATGTCATATGGTGGATTAACATTGGCAGATTAAGCTATAATCTCCAAATGAATATTTATTTTAATTCACAGAGATATTAGTCATTAATTATTGTTTCTGATTAATAGATTAGCCATCAATTACTACTTTATATGGTGTTAGTCATTATTTTATGTCTTTTCATAGAATATAAAGCGATTGGGATGTTGATTGAAGAAGGCAATACGTTGGATACAAGTGATGAAGAATTTGTGGATGAACACGAGTCAAATAAGAATTAGTGAAGAAATTATTAAAGCACCTGAGGTTGGAATGACCTTTGAATCGCTAGACTACCTTTTTGGGTATTATAAACAATATGGGAAACAAGAAGGTTTTGGAGTAAAAAGGAGAACAACACGATCATTTGGAGATTTGACATTTGTTTGCTTGTCATGTTATCGAGCCAGGAATTCAAAGTCTGTAAAACAAAATTACCTCAATCCTAACCCATTGATGAAATCGGTTGCAAGGCTAAGGTTAATGCTTCTATATTAGAAGATGGAAAGTGCAAGATAAATTCTAGTACACTGGATCATAATCATGGACTAAGTCCACAGAAATCACGATTTTACTCATGTAATAGAGAAATTATCATAGGTGCTAAGAGAAAACTTGAATTAAATGATCAAACTGGGATTGGATTGGCGAAGAATAGTTGATTGAAGAAGGCAATACGTTGGATACAAGTGATGAAGAATTTGTGGATGAACACGAGTCAAATAAGAATTAGTGAAGAAATTATTAAAGCACCTGAGGTTGGAATGACCTTTGAATCGCTAGACCACCTTTTTGGGTATTATAAACAATATGGGAAACAAGAAGGTTTTGGAGTAAAAAGGAGAACAACACGATCATTTGGATATTTGACATTTGTTTGCTTGTCATGTTATCGAGCCAGGAATTCAAAGTCTGTAAAACAAAATTACCTCAATCCTAACCCATTGACGAAATCGGTTGCAAGGCTAAGGTTAATGCTTCTATATTAGAAGATGGAAAATGCAAGATAAATTCTAGTACACTGGATCATAATCATGGACTAAGTCCACAGAACTCACGATTTTACTCATGTAATAGAGAAATTATCATAGGTGCTAAGAGAAAACTTGAATTAAATGATCGAACTGGGATTGGATTGGCGAAGAATTATCAATCATTTGTTATAGAAGCTGGTGGTCACGATAATGTCTCATTTTTGGAGAAAGATTGTAGAAATTACATTGATAAGAAGAGAAAATTACGACTTGGTATTGGAGATGCTCTAGCAATCCACAATTATTTTGTTCGGATGCAAGCAAAGAATTCAAACTTCTTTTATATGATGGATGTAGATGATATTGACCCCAAAAAATGAATCAACAGATGTTGGGCCTGCTCACACCAAGTCAAGTACAATTCCGACGCATTCCTACCGGAATGATGACGGTAGCAATGAGGAAATGGAAGCGGGAGGTACTTTGCGACGAAAGACAATATTGTTCGAGCTTCTGCGGGTGGAACGGAAACAATCGCATTAACAACGATTACTGAGTTGAAACCAAAACTAATCTATGTAATAACTGACCAGAATATGTGGAAGGATAGATGAAATGTTCATGTCTTTCTTTCAAGAGTTTAAGTGTATATTTTTAACATATGATCCTCCGTTTTTTCTATTTTTCATCCCCCTCTTTTCGTTACAAAGAGGACCTATTTATACTGCCTTGGCCGACGTGGTGACTGTTGGATCAAAACCACGTGGCCTCATCTTCCTAACTAAGGCTTCACATCACTATTTATTCATACAATTAATACATTGATAAAATGCCAGCCGCCCTATATAGTAGGCTGACACACTGACAACTTTATTACAAGTGTTACATCACTTACTTCTAGTATATCCTTAAATCTATTACAAGAGATATCGTCGGCTTCATGAGCTTCGGATGAGTTGGAGAGAGCCTCGGATGGATCTGAGCTTTGTCTTTGAAGAAGTGCCTTACCCTAGACTTCATCGTGTTGTGTGAGAACTTAAGGACCTCGGCCTATTTGTCTTATTGGTGTGTTTGACCTACTAGGTTTTCTTTTTGACATTCTTATTGAATATTTGCCCACGTGTCGTGCCACATGGCCTCGTTTCACTGGGCCTCAGAGGCGAGGAGTAACAATAGTCCCCTAAGTCTAGGCATGATTATTTATGTAATGCATGAACTTATTCAATTGCTGTGAAAATAATAAAAAAAGTTTCGTAGGGGGTGGTTTTTTTGCTATATCACAGATGATAATGCTCAAATTAGGAATTTATTTTGGGCTAATGCAAGGAGCGTGGTAGCTTACGATGAATTTGGTGATGTGGTTACATTTGACACAACCTACATGACAAATAAGTATGACATGCCATTTGCACCTTTTGTGGGCGTAAATCACCATGGACACTTAATTTTATTTTGATGTAGGTTACTATCAAGCGAGGACATTGATACCTTTATTTGGTTGTTTCGTACCTGGTTGGCATGTATGTTTAGACGTGCAACGTGTGTTATAATTATATATCAAGACAAAGTAATGCAGAAAGGTATTGAGGCTGTGTTTCCTAACACTCGACATCGTTGGTGTCTATAGCATATAATGAAAAAGATACTAGAGAAATTAAGAGGCTACAAGTTGTACGAAAAAATAAAAGGTGTCTTGCATAGTGTTGCTTATGAATAGTTGGAGACAGAAAATTTTGAAGAAAAGTGGAAGCAATTCATTACTGAGTTCAACCTTCATGAAAATGCGTGGTTAGATAATTTGTATAAAGAGAGGCATCGTTGGGTTCCTACATTTGTAAATGACATTTTTGTGCTGTTATATCAACCACACAACGTAGTGAAAGTATGAATGCATTCTTTGATGACTATGTAAACTCAAAGACAACATTGAAACAATTTGTCAAACAATATGATAATACTTTAAGAAGTAAGGTCGAGAAGGAAAACCATGATGATTTTCAGTCTTTCACTATATGGATTCCATGTGTAACACATTTTCAAATAGAAAAGCAATTTTATAGTGTATATACTAATTATATTGTGAAGTTTCTTGTGTTGATAAGGAAAATTGATTGTTTAATGTGATTGAGGATATATTGGTTGGAGATAAATAGAAAAAACTTCAGTTCACTGGTTTTTGCGATGAAGGGAAAATGAGGTAAAATGTCCTTTTCGATTATTTGAATTTAAAGGAATTTTATGCAAGTATGCTTTATCAGTTCTTTTGAAATGTAATATTCAAAAAGTCCCTGAACTTTTATATCTTAGCACGTTGGAGGAAAGACTTAAAACGGTCTCAAATGAAGGTGAAAGTTACCTATGATGATTGGAAAGTCGATGAGGAGGCTCAATGTTATCACAAGTTGTAAAAGAAACTAGATGATGTTGAGGACTTGGCTGTCACTTCTGATGAGAATTGTATCGTATTATTGAACATGATGGATGAGTTTCAATCAAAAATAAAAAGAACTGAATCAGCATTGAAGAGTTCTTCGATAAGTACTAATGCCACTATGAGTAATATTGATTGTTGTGATGATGTGGATGATTTTTGTAAAGATCCTAGTGAAAGTAGACTTCATAGTCCCTTTGCCGTTCGTTCGAAGGCACGAACGTCCACCTTAGAATAGAAGTGTCCCCAATGTAGAGAAGTTTGTTTCCAAAAAGAAAAAATGTGAAGAAAAAAATCCAAGAAAAAGAAAGAAAAACTTGAGGTACATAATTATTTATCATCTTCAGTTGTAGTTAAAAAGTTGTAATTTACTTAAATATGCTAAATTTATTTACTTTCAGGATGTTTGCATGCACATTGAAGTCGACACACAAGATAGTACAAGTATACAGGTAAAATTTGATACTAGTTTAATAGTATTCAATTTTTATACTATTTTGATGATACTTTTTAGAATTTAATTCACTTTATTGGTTTTAGGAGCCTAGAACACAAGTATATATACCTTACAATTTTCAAGTTAATGAAATGGCGAGATTCTAGCAACACATTCCTTACTTTCATCACTTACCATCTTATGCTTCAAGGCCTTCAATTTTACCTAATTCTTTATTCAATGCTTAAGGTAAGAAAAGTTCGTTATGTACTATTATTTGATTATTTCATGTCTATGTTAATATATTTCTTTGTTCTTACTTTTTGTGTATATTAAATCCCGTCATGCATTACTATGATCCATATATGCATAATGAAGATGTTACTCATTTGTAATTTTGATTCAGGTAATGGTAGTTTACCACTTATATGAATAGTCAACATTTTATACTCAATTTAAACTAATGTATTTTTAATTTTACAAATGACAACTATTGGGTACTAAATGTGAGACTTCATATTTTTTGTTGTTATTGTAATGAAGTGCAAGAGTGAGATCTATGTATTTTGAATTCCAAAATCACATGATCTGTAATATTGTTACAGTTATTACTAAAAGCAAAAATGCTAATAGGATGTGTCATTTGAAACTTTATTGTCTAAAAGTGGTGATATATATTATTGTCTATCTAACAAATTCATAGGATTTACCTGTAATGCTTTCTTGATTAATTTGAATGTTGACATGTTTTCCCTAAAAAAACTTGTTTATAGCAACTCAAAATTGATAAATCATCATTTGTCAATTTGCAGCAACGCTCACTGATAGTATTCTTAATTTGCAATAGCGTCTATCTGCTTATAATATGGTATAGAAATGACTACCGAAGATCAAATCTGACATCCATGGTTGTGAAAATTTCACATGACAGCATTGAAGAAAATGTATTTTCATGTGACGTGGAATTTTAAAGACATACAACAACCATATACACATTATCAAAACTTGAACTTCTAACACTTGGAATTTGGTAGTGACTAGAGATGGCAAGGGCAAACATTTGTCCAACCAAACATCCTTTAATGGTATGCATGATATATATAGTTTTTAGCAATGCCAATGGTGCAAATCTACATATAAGGGACTCATCTAATTAGTCTTGTTAATTTTTCTGGTCAACAATTAGTGTAACAACTTTTGAGACTACGGTTGCTACATAAGCTTGCTTGGTTAGTTGGTTAGAAGGGAAAATTTCATAATAAGCTCATTTTTTTCTGGATGAATGTAGAAAATCTACCATATTTGATCACTCCGTACTTTCAAAAAACAAATTGAATGGTGCACTCTATTAATGATGCATTACCATAGCACACAGAAAATAAACAGAAATTGGAAGAAATTGGGCAAACAAAAATTAGAAAAAAACCAAGAAGTGCCTTATACCCTCTTCCCAAGTATGAAACTTGGAATGCTAAAAACACTTTCAAAAATTCATAGGAAAAAACAAACTGGTAGAAAGAAAAATCAAAACAATGTATGACAACTACAAATATGTCCACCTTCTTCTAGAGGAACTTGGCGAATCAAAGAGATTCTTCCCATCATATGCAATTGGTGATTGTTGTAGTCGGAGTGCGAAGGGAATTAAGAAAAAGAAAGAGATTTAGCCTTTGGATTGACGTAGCCATCCTTTTTTTTTTAAAGAAGTTGGAGCAAAAGTTATTGGAGAAGATGAGGCTTGAATTTTCGGTGGTGGAGAAGGTAAGAGAGAGAAATTGAGATGTATTCTGGAGATTAATTCTTTAATGGTATTAGGAAGATGAAAGGTTTGATTTTTTTTTTTGAAAACACGTGAATTACATTTTTGGTTTAAAAATAAAATTTAACATTTTGCCACGTAAGATGTTGATTGTGCAGCCATGTAGACTGAGGTTCAACTCCAGTGAGAATGAATAACAATACTCTAATTAAACCTCTTTAATCACTTTAAAGTGGGTGTATATTCTTGTTCGAGGTAGTCTCTTGAGATCGCACACCAATAATTGTCCCACAATGTCTGAATTCTCTCTTTATGGAATTCGAACATTGAGCCCCCGTTGGACCCCCATTATTTCACATTATAATTTCTCTCTCTTATATTTTCAACCACACAATCTTTCATAAAATAATATTAAACGTAAATCGAAAACTTTTTCTTCTTTTCAACCACATATTCTCCAAAAAAATATTATTCCAAAAATTATAACACCAAATAATGGGGGCCAAACGAGAGCTAAAACTCAATGTTAGTTTTGGAGTGGACGTTTCAATGCCTAGTGGGAAACAATTGTCTCATGGGATTGAATGGGTCAATGGGAGTGTAATTTCTACTTCCCTAAGCTTATTCTAAAAGTTTAATCAAAACTCTGTAGTTTTGATTCTTTCAATCTTGGCCCTTGATTCAATCTTCTTTTTCCCACTACTTATTTTTCAATGGTCAAGATCGTTCATCATCTCATTCTTTCTCTTTATAATTGATTTTTCTATTCATTTATACTTCATTCTCTCTCTTTAAAAAATGATATTGGAAGTAATTTCCTCTTAAAAAATTGTAAGGGCATTTTCGATCCTTTAGATTCAATAATTAATAAATACATACCATTATATATTCCATTTATTTAATTATTTTGAGTCTTGTAGAGTCCACCGCCTTTTGTTACTCTTTTTATGTTTATACTTAGGATTTGTTTTATGTAAATTTTTTAAAAATAAATTGTGTAGAAATTATTTTTTTAAAAAAATATGTGATTAAAAAGTAGAAAAAAACTAAAAATTTACGTAGAAAATTATTTTATTAGGAGAATTTATGATTTAACTTTCGAGTCACGTAATTCACCTAATCAGTTTTAAAAATATTATGTAATTAGTATTATTTGTTTCTTACCTACCAAATATAGGGTGTGTTTAAATCACATTATTTTGGAAGAATGTATTCTGGAATAATAAATTGATGGATAATTTGTGGTTGAAAAAGAAGAAAAAATTATTGATGTGATGGAAAATATTATTTTATTAAAAAATATGTGATTAAAAATGAGTAGAAGAATGAAAATTTTAATATGTACCAAACATGGGCTTAAGACACGTAAAGTTTTGCTTATTTTCCACCATTCATTTGTATTTGTAAGAGTTAACCAAAAGTGGCAATGGATGAGGTTTTCAATCATAACAAATATCTTTCCTTTTCCTATTCATTTATAATAAATATCTAAAAAAAGGAAAGAGAGAGCAAAAAGCTTCTTTATATGAATAAAAAAATAGGGGTGTGTGAGAGAGAAAGTCTTCGTCTTTGCCGTATCTCATGATGATAAACCAAAAAAAAAAAAAGAGCAATTGTCCTATATGAATAGATTCAAAGACATAATAAAAAAATAGAAAAGATGGGTTTCGATACATAATTAAATAATTTGAAAAAAAAAAAACACAAAACTCAATTATTATAGGTCATATCACTGTCACTCTGTCATTTCATCCCTATCATTGTGCCTGGGCATTATTAAAAAAAAAAAGAAAAAGGAAGAAAAAAAGGATATGAGGATCATTAAATTCCTAGTACTATTCTCTGTCAAACACGATTCTGTCTCTGTGGACAGTAATATCAGATTTTTTTACTCCCTTCCAGGCATATTTTAACCTTTCATCTGCCACCGGCCCACCGATAGGCTTTCTGGGTTTTTGCCAAATTTTTAAGGTATCCCTTTTTACCATATTAATCTTGCTTTCTTTGTTCATTTTCACATCACTTATTTGGCAATTTTTCTCTATATACTTGTTTTATAGGTCAGTCTTGTTCCCATCTTTGTTTCATCTTCATCTCACTCAAAAAATCTTTGATTCAATTTATACTTTTGATTCACTTCTGTTTTGATATTTGCTTCACAATTAGGTGTAGAAATGGCGAGGGGAAAGACTCGTATGAGGCGTATAGAAAATGCAACAAGTAGGCAAGTGAGCTTCTTCAAGAGGAGAAATGGGCTTCTCAAGAAAGCTTGTGAACTTTCAGTCCTCTGTGATGCTGAGGTTGCGGTTATAATCTTCTCTACCACGGGCAAACTCTATGAATTTTCCAGTACAAGGTAAGATCTCTCTCTCTTTAAGATATTTCAATTCATCGGAGGACCGCTGTAAACAGCACCACTCCCATGAAATATTGATTGCTTGTGGATCCATGTAAATTGTGTGAAAAGTAAGATGATCCAAATTTGAGTCTCTCTCTTAAATTATAGATGTTCCATCAGGCTTTTACTACCTGTTCATACTTTATTACACAAAGGCTATTTTTATACTGTTCATTACTTCTTATAGAAGTACTAACGAGCACTAATACTTGTGAAAGTTTCATACATTTAATTTATACCTAGTAAATCTGAATCAAAACTTGGTATCCATTTGTTTGAACTTTAATCATGGAAATAAAACAGAAATATAAAGAGAGAAAAAAAAACAATGAACAAACTATGAGTTTCACATGATTTGGCCAACCGCTGCACTAGACATTGGGCTTGGTTTGGCCTAATTGGTGCCCCTAAAGTAAGGCGACAAGATTTTAGGCCAGCTTATATAAAATTTCTAAGACAATCTCTTGTACTGTACATCTTGATATCTTTTTAATTGAGATTTGAATAGCATGATGTACGCTATGACATGTACTCAACTTGATAGTTGTGCTTGTAGTTGAATATTGATCTCGCTCATAGGAAGTAGTGAAATATATATTTCGATACCTTTGAGGGATAGTTGATTACACGCGTTCCTAGCAAGCATCAAATTTGCGAGTGGCTAGCAATAATAAAGTTTACTTGTGAAGCAACTTAGTATAGTCTTCTTATGGGTTTTTGTTTAGTAAGTTTGAAAGTTTAAATTTACTGATTTATTTTATGTTTTAAACCCCAACACAGTGGAAATAAGTAATTAAAAACAACAAGTCACTTTTTAATTGTTTCTAGATGATTAATCAATTACTTCAATTTATCCTATGTTGAATTACCACAGTTTGTAATTCAAAATATGAAAGCAGTAAAGAAAACCAAATTGATCATGGAGAAAACCCTTCGCAAATGATCAAAAGCTCGGGGCACTTTTCTAGTTAATAATCCACTATAAACAAAACAACTTACAGTATGGTCCAGACCCGATTAACACTTAGTCCCCTTTAACCTTCTTTTCCCGTAGTCACCCTTGATCCTAGTGGACTGCGTGCTTCTCACACTAAATTCGACTTCTGGTACATCATCTTAGCCCTTTTGGACTACATGCTCTTTACACCAGTTCCCGATCCCTAGTATATTACCTTAGCTCTTTTGAACTGCGTGTTTCTGCACCAACTTCCGATCCTTGGTATCATTTATCTCCGATAGATTATGTGATTTGATGTTTGATCAAAAGATCTAATGTGTTTTGATCTGTGATTTAATGTGGAACAATTTGACTTGATCAACAAAATATGTGTTTGAAGAATTTATGGATCAAGTAATATGTGGTGGTTGAATTTTGGAATCAATGAATGTTTGGATCATCAAAGAATTGATCTATATGGAATAAATTTGATCTAACACACTTTTGGACATCTCATAGGGTGTATATTTAGCCAAACCTTCCTAGTAGAATTGTTGATGAAGTAGATGTCAAACAATTGAGTCTAAAATGAAAAAGAAGAGAAAAACGCGAAAAACCCGAAACAAGTCAGGTGGTGCCACGGCGCCCACCTCCGGGTGCCCCGGCACTGAGCGTTCTGTTTTCTTCCTCTCAAACTCTTCTTCAAATTCAATATCAATTTTCAACTCCCAATAGGCTTCCAACATAGAACTTCAACTTGACATAAGACTCTAATAGTATTCCAAACTGAATTTTTCTTAACGTGCACTTCAATTAGAATTCTTCAATTACTTCAACAAGGAATTCGGGTCACACCCAAATTCTAACAGTAACTCTGAAAAAGAGCTAAGATATCAAATAAAATTGGAACAATTGGTGAAAGATGAGATACATTCTTTAGCCCATTAATCATCCAAGCAGCATCGCATTCAGCCACCTGTATCAAAATCCCTTTTTTCTGGGTAAAAAGATAAGCCCACTCGCATTGCTAAGGCCTCAGTTACAGCACCCAATCCTCTTAGCCATGGCTGTCCCCACCATACCTGTATGGTCCCTAGTTACAGCTCCGAGTCCCACAAGATTGGAGTTCATCTGAAGCGAGCATCAGCATTTACCTTGAGGCGTCTCACATGTGCTGCTTTCCACCATGTAGATCCCTATTGTTCCATTGCAGCCACTTACTAGAAGATATGAGAAACCACATCCTTAACAGCCATAACAGGCTCGTTAATTTTTGTCTATTCCTTCCTATTTTAACGAGTTCTTCCGAGATATGGTTTCCAAATAAAAGGAAAAAAAAAGTAAAAGAAAGAAAGAAGTTCTACTGAGATCATACCACACTTGTGAATAAAAGTATATTTAGCTATATCTAAACTTTGTCATATCCCTAAGCTTTCATTTCCTTAGTTTATCGTCACTTACTAGAAGATATAAGAAACCACATCCTTAACAGCCATAACATGCTCGTTAGTTTTTGTCTACCCCTTCCTATTTTAACAAGTTCTTCTGAGATATGGTTTCCAAAATAAAAAGAAAAAAGAAAGAATGGAAGAAGTTCTACTGAGGTCATACCACACTTGTGAATAAAAGTATATTTAGCTATATCTAAACTTATCAAATCCCTAAGCCTTCATTTCCTTAGTTTATCGTCAATCGGTGTTACTTATTCTTAGTCATATATTCTTATTTCTTATCTTGCCAGTTTTATGAAATGTTTTATCTATGTTTACACATTCAAACTTGTATGACTCTGCTAAGCATAACACCAAGGCAAGAGAAATATTGCAATGACTAAACTTGGAAATTAAAGATGGGGTCTTAATGTATGTATAAGATAATTTACTTGTATCCTCCAATGAAATAATTAAAATGGAAAAAAAAAAAGTTTTATTCTGATGATGATAAATCCATATTCTTTTTATTGCTAAAAAATTCAGGCTAAGGCCATGTTTGGGTGAGTGCTAAAAAGTAGCATCTTATAAGTAGGATTGCACGTTCTTTTGAAATGTTTGCTTTAGCTTACAAGTTACCCTTTTTCCTTGGTTAAAAAATGAAACAATAACAAAGTCTTGTTCTGAATAAATATAAACTGGCCATCTAAATCATATTTTTGTCATTTCATTGGATCAATGGATATATCTTTTTGAAGATTCAATGCACTCAAATCATTATCACATGGGATCATATTAATTTTTGACTATCAAGATGAGATTCTTGAGATTAAGTAGAGTTATGTGATATGCATCTTATAAAAAGATGATGAAACATAATAGAAATTTTCATCATAGAAGTTAGATGTGAATTAAAAGAGTTATAAAATTGTAAAACAATTTCAAGTCTAGAGAGTAAAGGCTATTTGTTTTGCTGTGGCATTGTTGAAGTAAAAAATGATATCAAAGACAAAAAATAGATTTTAAATCATGAGTCATAACATTCTTTTAATCTGGCTAAAAAGATGAGAACGAAGATCTAAAGGCATAAACAAACATAATGAAAGTTGAGAAAGTAGGCTTTGAAGCTTACCCAACTTATCTAAAAATTAAACAAATAAAGGGTTGGAATTCTAATTTTTGTCTAGGAAGCATCAAATTTAAATTTGTTAGTTTTAGCTCGTCTTATTTTAATCGACTTTGGGTTACTTGCTTCGTAAATTGTTGATCAAGTTGAAAGGCATGAAAAATTAAAAGGGGTTGGACAAAAAAGAATTTCTAGTAGACTACACCGTGTTTACTTAAAAGGGTTCGAGGTAAAATTATATTATGAAAAGGATAAATTATAGCTGGAATGTCCGTTTCTCTCAATCCTTCATTTCTAGCACCTCGATTCCCAAACCTTTTATGTTTGTAGCATTTAAGCTCCATGGACAGAAACAGCCTAACTGCCTAGTTCATGTTTCACTAACATGACTTGTTCATGGCAACAATAATTAGATTATTCTGTCATATATAATGCCAGAGATCACTGGATCCCTTTCAAAATGTGTACATATTACCTTGGATATCTCTTGTAAATTGACAAATCTTGAGAAATGCTTATAAATTTCTGCTAAAACATTTCCGTTTCTTTAACAAATTTTGTCTGATTCTGAAACTTCTTCAGCATGAAGGAGACAATAGAACGTTATAGAAGGCATCCAAGAGATATTCAGGCTAAGAACCCTCCAGTGGAACAGAATATGCAGGTTGCTTTCTCTATCCTATTTCCATTAGCAAAGTATTATTATGTTGGCCCCTAGATTTGAATGGATTTGCTCGGAATTGCAGCATTTACAGCACGAAATGGCAAGTCTGATGGAAAACATACAACGTCTCGAATCTTCGAACAGGTTTCAATACCCTGAATCTAAAACTTTTGCATCTGGAATTTTTATTGAAATGTTAAGTTTCCTAGTCCTTGTTCACAAGGAGGGGTTGCAGGGAAGACTGCCCTTATTGAGTTCTCTTGTTATGGATATTTGGATTTAGTGAGATACAAAACTCTTGATTTTATATACTAGGAAACTCTTGGGGGAAGGTCTGGAATCATGCACCCATGAAGAACTACTAGAGCTAGACCAACAGCTGGAGCGTAGCATCAGCAGCATTCGAACAAGAAAGGTTATATTGCAAATTTAAGTGTCTTTATTACTGAATCTCTTGGAACCTGAAGTTATTCTAACCTTTTCTTCATTCAGATTCAAGTTTTCAGGCAACAAACAGAGCAATTGAAAGAAAGGGTAAGTTGTTCTACTCAGCAAGAAATTTGAAATGATTTTAAGATTTTATCTAAAAACCAAAGATGAATAAGCATGTACTGTGCAGTCAATTACTTTTTTGGCAAGGTAAAGATGATAAAATCTGGTATATTGTTGTGTGCACATCGTTACGAATGAATTTTGTGATTGCTCATATCATGCCCTTTTGTCTTGTCAATCCAGGGAACAACTTTAACAGCAGAAAATGCATTGCTGCGGGATAAGGTGAATTTAATTTGATCTTGCCTCCATTCTGGTAACATCTTCCAAGTCTTCAAATTGTTTCCTATGATACGCTAAAATCAGAAATCCAAAAATCTGTGATCTTCTTCAATCTGTAAAATGAGTCTGCAAAAATAAACATATACAAGGAAAGGTATAGGGTAGTCTAGACTAAGGCCCTCCAACACTCAAGTTAGAAGTGGGAACAAGAATAAAGTGAACTGATTATTGGAATAACCAACAACTGTACCAAGATTTTCTTTTTGGTTTGAAAATTTTTGCCTGATATTCATTAACTTTGATGTCATTAGCTTTCACTCCAGCAAGAACGAGGATCAAACGAGGAAAGAGCAATCGAGCCTTCTGCGGATACTACTGAAGTTTCAGATGTGGAAACGAACTTGTTCATTGGACCTCCAGAAACCAGTCAGAAGCGTGCCCTACAGAAGTCATATATAGGTGAATAAAATTTATGAAACTATTTTACAAAAGTTATATATTATGATATATAATTCAAAAATAAATTGTCTGATAGTAAGACTTGCACTAATTTGAACTAGTAGTAATACCAGATACAGTGGTGAGACTGCAATGCTTTTTGCATTAATTGTATCTTATGCAATTGATTATCCAACAAGCTTCTCAATGTTAAGCTCTGAGTTATTCTATGCTAGTGATATGCCTTAGTTCAATCGTTCACGGGTGTAAACCCTTTGATTGATTAATATATTTACACTTTATGGCAGAACTATGATTTTAAGTTTATTTGTTTATGGATTAAATTAATGGAGTCCGAATATTAATGTTGATAACTTGTTAATCGCAAGACGTTATGATCCTGAGATACAACTAATTATAAACAACATGGTCTTAAAATGTCCCTAGTCGTTCTTACTTACGAGACACGAGATATTCTTATTATAGGTAAATTAGCGCATATAGTATTTCTTTCTTATGAAGAAAGCAATCAAACTCAAAAGCTAATTTAGAGACATTAAAATGGATGTACTGATAAATTGTTACAGAAAAATTCATTGAATGACCTGCAATTGAAATTTTACATTGATAACTCTCTTAGTGTTAGCAAAGAATCTCTATTCTCTAAGTTTTAGCCTTTGACTTTGATGTCGTTGGTACGTCTTATGATTTAGTAGGGATTTTGTAAACCCAGGTAAGCCGGGTGTACTTGTACATAAGTTTTGATCTATATAATTCTAATTCTACATTTACCGATAAAAAAAAAGTATAAAATCTTATACAAGGACAAATACACTCTGTTGGTGTCAGATGGGTGGGTTTAGAAAGGATTCCTATGGTCTTTTGTTATAATTTTTGCCAACTTACCACTTGCAAGTCAAGATTCCTCATTGAAACTACCTGATTTTGAAAAGTGGTGCGAGTTTTCACAATAAATTGAGTAAGTGCATCTTCAAGTGACACCTTCTTTTCTTGAGATTGAATCCTAAGAGGTGATGGTCTGGCTACATTTTGGTTGTTGTTCGATGAGAAATTATGATGATTTTAGTAGACTGGGACATAGCTAGGCCTTCCACTTCCCTTTCTATCAGTGCAGATAAAGCTAAGAATTTATGGATCTCATGAATTCTTGCAGCTTTCTTTGGCATCGAACCATTTCAAAAGCATTTGTTACTGTTGGAAGCCATGTCTTTAAATATTTGTGAATGTTTTCCGTAAGTTTCGTTCATGAGTGAACCACCATCTCAGAATCAATACATATCAGACGTAGGATGCAATAGGAGAATTATAGGAAGAGGGGAAATGGGAGAGAAGAATGGGAAGAATGGTGGCCAAGGAAAAAAGAATTGAGGGCAAGATGAAATCTGTCTATTTCATTTATCAAAGCTATGTTTATTACATTGCTAAAGCTCTCTTTATATAGGGTTTCAAAGATCATATTCTAAGTAGGAAATATATAATAAAAGCTATCAAATCAAAATATAATTAAGTTTCCTAAAATAAGCATTAGAATTGAAAACTATATTATCTACACTAATATTCCATCAAAATTGAAGGTCCGAATTTGCAGCCATGGTGGAATCTCGTGATGGATACATCTTCAAAAGTTCATTATACCATTTTCATGACTCATATAATGATTCAGAATCAGATTGGGCAAATAAAGTGATTTCACTTCTTAGATTTCGTGTCCTACTAGGTAGTAAGAATTTAGCAAATAATTTTTGAAAAGAGTCGAAGTCCCTATTTGGTAGGAGATTTTAATTTAAGTCAAAGTTAATAATTAATTTTAACAACATATTTCATGGGACCTACAATTTTTCAATCACACATTCCATAACTTTTATCAAAATATACTGAAAATCGGATTTTAATTTCCACCAAACGGTGGCTAAATCTTATATCGTCTTTAGTTACATTATTGATATTGAAAGCATATCATATTTCCAAGAAGTTCAGAATGTGCTCATGAGGGGCATCAGTAGGCAAACAAAAACAATTGAATTGAACATAATTTTGAACCATCTCGATGGTCCCTGATTTGGTCTGGAAGTTGTTTGCATCCACCGTCAGCTAGACTATAAGTCTATAATGGATATTTCTAATTGCAACTAGATTAACAGATTCCTTTTAAGCTTTTTCGACTTCAGCTACCCGCGCTGGGATAGTTGGATTCACCATGACACGCTAATTCATGTTGTTCCTTCCTCCTCTATCTAAAAGTACGATCAAAACCTAGAACATTTCATGCACGGGATGAAAGCAACATGTAGTTCAAATTAAAGCTAGAATTAATGCTCTAATTAATTATGCACATCAGTTAGAAAAGAAAATCATAAACTAATTGAAAAAACAAAAGAAATAAGAAGGATTTACGAAAACGTGCGTAACTTTCAACTCAAGATATTATCGCAAGCGAGTTTATTTTGGAAGCATTTTTTGATTCTGCACATTTTTTTATGATGATGACGTGGCCAACATCTTCAAATTTTCGAGGTCAAATTCCATCGTTTAGGGGTTCGTTTTAGTATTATTTTTTTTTTTTGTTTCGAGTTAGTTTAAGGTTATTTTTGCATTTTTTTTTTTTTTAGTTTTATTCAAATTTATTCGCTGAATTAAAATTTCAATTTGCTTAGAATTTGTTTTGAGTCTTTAAATATGTGATAAGTCTCCAGAACTCTACGGTCATTTTTTTTTATAAATAATAGTTCAATTTTCTAGTTANAAATTTATTCGCTGAATTAAAATTTCAATTTGCTTAGAATTTGTTTTGAGTCTTTAAATATGTGATAAGGTTCCAGAACTCTACGGTCATTTTTTTTTATAAATAATAGTTCAATTTTCTAGTTATTTAATGGATTCCTATAGTTCTCACGTTAATTCGAGTAACACCTGCTCATATGTTACGATCAAAATCCTTTCATAATTATTCATGTTTCTGTCCTGCATCAATTACTGGATATTAATATCAACAAAAATAAAATCAATGCCTAGTAGTAATGCAAAAAAATTGTTCACTTGATCATCGCAAACGTACGATACCGTAACAACATGTAACACTAGAGTTCCGTTCTATTGAAGATTGTTCATACTGAAAGTAAGTCCGTCCTTGATTTAATTGATCAATCAATTATGAGGAATTTGTTTCCTAAAACAGAGTAAACAAAAATGTAAAATTGTGTGGAGACAAACATTACAGAATTTAATTGGTTAAAGGGACTAATACCTTCAATTTCACTTATCAACTTCATGTAATTGAATATACTCATTTGTATTAGCGATTAATGTCTATAATTTATTTAACATTGCGTTGACTAAGCCTGAGCGCGGTTTGGTTTGGGTCGATTTCGACTCCAACCCGAAATCAAATCCAAATTAGTCGGTGATGCCACCAAAAATTGTACCTGGACAAACCCGAGCCGAATAGAAGAGCTCCGCGCGATCCGACCTTCAATACCTGAAACAAAAGCGTCGATGTGTGTCCTCGTCGCCCCTCCGATACTTAAGTCAGATAGGTGCTCAAGAGAAAACTTATGCTAAATGTTATCAAAAACCTACCTGAATAATGAGGATATGTTATGTATTTATAGATGTTGGAGATGAAGTTTTGAAAAGATTCAATTTCATGCAATCCTTATCCTTGTTATTTAAGGTGTTTGCGTTGTGTTAGAAATACACAATATGAGTTAAGGTTAAATTTATAATAAGTTAGGAGTTTGTATTTAAATAGAACTAGCATTCCTAAAAAACGTGCTATAAGATCAGAGGGGATATGTGAGCTAGGGTTAATAACCCGACCTAGTAACGGGGCCCGACCTCAAGTAAGCCCAAACTTAGAAATAACCCAATAACAGTGGACTAAGGTTGAGCTAATGAACTTAGATCCACTAAGAGTGGGCTGACGTCGGGTCCAACAAGGTCGAGCGAGCTGAGGTCGGGTCCAATAAGGTCTATATTTATACGCATTACAGGCCCCCATGCATCTAGGTCGCAGCTGAAAACCCCACGTTCGAGCTACGGGATAAGATGTACTGAGGTGAACGTATCGAGCTCAGGCGTTGTGTGAAGGTATTGCTTATGCCTATTAAATACGTGGTCCGAGCTTGTTGGCCAATGCTTGGCCCATAAGGTCGAGTTTTGTATTAAACAGGTAGCTCGAGCTTGTTACTTGGCCAATTTTTGCCGATAAACTCGAGTTTTGCATGGAACAGGTAGCCCTAGCTCATTACTCAGCCAATTTTTGGCCATTAAGCTCGAGTTTCATATTCGAGTTTTGTATGAAATAGGTAGCTAGAGCTCGTTACTTTGACAATTTTTGGCCACTAAGCTCGAGTTTTGTATGAAATAGATAGCTCAAGCTCGTTACTTGGCCAATTTTTGGCCGATAAGCTCGAGTTTTGCATGGAATAGGTAGCCCCAGCTCATTACTTGGCCAATTTTTGGCCATTAAGCTCGAGTTTCATATTCGAATTTTGTATGAAATAGGTAGCTAGAGCTCGTTATTTTGCCAATTTTTGGCCACTAAGCTCGAGTTTTGTATGAAATAGATTTCCACTAAGCTCGAGTTTTGTATGCAATACGTAGTTCGAGCTTGTTACTCGGCCAGTTTTTGGCCAGAAAGGTCGAGTTTTGTATGCAATAGGTAGCTCGAGCTCGTTAATTGGCCAACTTTTGGCCACTAAGCTCGAGTTTTATATGCAATACGTAGCTCGAGCTTGTTCGACCAATTTTTGGTCATTGAGCTTGAGTTTTGTTTGAAATACATAGCTCGAGCTCGTTACTCGGCCAATTTTTGGCCACTAAGCTCGAGTTTTGTATGCAATAGGTAGTTGGAGGTCGTTACTTGTCCAATTTTTGGCCACTAAGCTCGAGTTTCGTATG